TAAATATGCATCTTCTGTCATCAACTGTAAATGTGTAACTTAATAAAAACAAAGGAAACTTGCCTGGTTTTTTTGTGTATGTATGCATGAATGTGCAGTGTGTATTCATGTGTGCATTTTGATGCTCCCTTATTCACTGCAGGTGGGTCTGCAGCTAAAGGGAAGCGTTCACTCGCCGTGCCAGAAAACTGACAAGTAAATAACTTTTCAATAGTCGGAAACACAGTCCCTCACGTTCTCACTCTGACCATCACATGCTGCAAATGAAAGGGACGCTGCATGGTTCTCATAATAAAGCAATTACAGTTAGTAAAACTGGGGACACTTTTTCCCTGTGAAATAAAGGGGGATCAAATCCTGCTTGTGGCCAAAGCATGAATCAGCGGCCTCTAAACATGCCAATGGAAATATAAAACACACCATATTCCATCTTTATTTACAGCAGTTGCAGACTTCCTGAGGCTTCACCGGCGATAAAAACACATTAGACAACATCCAGACATATATATCAATTCAGAGGCCTGCAGGTATACTTTGTGCTTTCTGATGAAAGCCACAAATAAACCTTTTTATCTATGAAATTATCAAAAACTCTCATTAAATTGGTAAATCTGTATAAAGGCTGTAACATTACAGGATCATTACCTCATAAGCTGACTGCTAAGAATAGCACAGTCCGAGGTGTAGTGTTCCAGCAGGTTGGAAAGTGGGCTAAGTAATCATTAAGTCTGGTTCACTGCCATGAAGCGAGCTGCTGACATATGGAGGGAGAGTTCAGAGTAATTAGATATTTGTCTGACTGTATTAGATGAAACATAAACTGTTGTAAAGTCATTTTATCTTTCCCCCCCTGAGACAGTTTACAGCTGAGTGTTAGCCAGGTTTTCAGAGCATGAACATGACTTCAGATGTGCAGAATGAGTGCAGACACCTTTCAGCCTGATGGACTTCACTTGAAATCCAATCATGTACGATGGAGTGGATTCCTGCTCCTCTGTCTCTCAGCTGCTTTCTTTTTTACCCTCACACACATGTACTCGTATACATGCATGTGTCCGCCATGTGTGCATGACTGTATGAATATATTTGTATTGTTTGTAGCAGCATCTTAGCCGTGAGTCTGTCACTTTTTAAGATCTCCAGAGTTCATCCACTTCACCTGCCGTTTTTAGTTTAACAACAAACTTCTGTTACACATGAGTGGTACATTTACCGACCAGGTTAAACTGTGTGTGGTTTATTTCCTTTAGGTCAATGTAAATTATTAAAAAGGTCAGTTTTTCCAAATGGTTCTTAAACCTTCTAATAGACGTCAATGCATTATTCAGGCAGATTACTATGTGTGCATCACATTTTATTTTTCAAACAAACAGAGGTATGAATCTAAATAAAGCTGCCTGTTATAAATCATTTAATAGATATAAATTTGAAAGCAAATTAAATGCACTATACTACATATATTTTTCACTATTTCCACCCATGCATGAAAGTAATTGATACAGTAAAAAGGGTCCATGAGCTCACATTTCAAATGAATGGTTCAACACAACTGTATCCAGATAATTTCTAAAAAATAAAACAAATCAATTATATTGTATTAAAATAAATTGTACTATCATTAATTATATTGAGAATGAATTGTATTTCAAAATCTGTGTCATTGTAAGAGCCTATTAATGTAAGTGTTTTAGGGGGTAGATGGGGAATTCAGCAATAGAATGAGACAGAAAAGGAGATTTTCGTGCCAATCGCAATTTTAAAAATCTGATTTCCAACCACGACAAATACAAAGACAATAAAAAATAAACTAGCAATGTGTTGTATTAGCAATTTAGACAAATGTACAGTTAATTCAGCAACATGAGCCGGACAATACACAGGGCCTCAAAAAATACTGTCTTTTGTTATTGTGGACAACTTTCGAGTTATAGCCAATAATGGGCTGACCTATAATGTCGAGACTATTGTCTCCAAAGAAATTTGCAGACAGTTTGTCTACAAAGAAATTACGTTGATTTTCTTTTCTTGGTGTTTTTAACTTTTCCAGTCTGTGGAGTGTCAAGGCTCTTAATAATTTCTTGAATAGTAGAGGGTGCTAAATGTTTGCACGCACATAAACAGGATTTTAGCTCACCACTGAGACACAAAAGCTGTAGAATAATTGTATATTGTTATCAAGTCATACACAGGCTAAGCAAAATTTCAAACATCTATGTTAAAATATTCAGTCCCATATATGCAGTCCCAAACTGTTGGATAAAATGAGAAATATAAATATAGAATTGATAATATAATATTTGAATTAAGTCTGATAAAATATACATATTTCCAGTGTACAGAAGTTATATTTAATATAAGTATCAATATAAAAAAAATGTGCTACTCCATATTTAATAGAAGCAGAAGTAATAAAATAGCCATGCTTAAAAGAAATGATCGATTCTTCATGTTTAACTGTTGTTTAACCACAGAGCAGCAGGAACACTGAGGCTGAGCTGCCCTTGATGAACCATTGCGAATGAAGCGTAAAATTGTGCCCTCTCCGCCCCAGTGCCATCACTCATGGGCTATATTCATATCCAAATTACATTAATGTCATGTGTTAAGCCCCCCGCCCCTGTTCGGTGAAACTTTTTTTGTCCTCCAGCTAATAAGTGGCCTAACTCGTTCATGTCATCAGCATTAATCAGTTTGGGAGAGAGAGGTCCAGAGAGCCGGGAGCTGTGGGTCTCATCCTCTGAGCGCAGACACGTTTGTGTAACTCTCCTCAAACCTGCGGGGAGTTTGGAGTGTTTGGTCAACGATAGTGGTTCCTAGAAAAGATCTGAATCGTTTTATAACCAAACCCAGCTGCGCTCTGGTGCTGCAGCCTCTCTCCCCGTGCGTGTGCGTGAGTGTGTGTGTGTGTGTGTGTGTGTAGAGGTAGAGGAAGGGGCGTCTGCAGAGAGAGAGAGAGAGAGAGAGTTTGGTATTTTTCTTTCCTTCACTTTTTTTATAGGCATGAACACCGAGACCTGCGTTTCATACAGCGACATGACATCCATGGATTCATATTATAGCCCCTCTGCAGCAGCGCAAGGCAGGGATCACCAGACGGACCACTTTAGGACATTCCCGGCCACTGACACCAAATACAGCCCCACCGCCTTCCTGCCCAACAAAGGTCAGGCGTACGGAGAGAAGTCCCGGAGCCCCTTCCAGCAGGAGTGCCAGTCATTGGATGCCGCCGCAGCTGGGCAAGGCACTTTCGGTAAATACCACCTGTTTATGCAGAGGTCGTCTTGCAAAACGTCCTCCGAGGAAGGCAAGCTGCACCCGGAGAGGGGACACAACGGAGCGCTCATCCCCTGCTATGGTGAGTGGAACTAAGTTAATTTAAAAAAAAAAAAAAAACTTTAGGATGACTGAGGTGCAGGGGTGTGCTGGAGTTGGAAAGCTGAGACATTTCTGTGACAAGCTTTCATTACGCATCAGACATGGATGATAAGAATTATAGTCTATTGTCCAATAGTTGGTGTAGGGAAAGATTTCTCAGAGCCGTGCGCTTCTGTGAAACATTAATTATGAGTCTGATAATCTAACACAAGGGCAGAAAAGTTTGTAACCTGTCAGTGGTCGCTCCTTTCTCCTTTCCCTGACTACGCGGTTTGGAAGACCCGAACGCAAATGATGGCGCAAAACACAGAACCAGACCATTTGTGGTTCCTTTAATGAACCAACAAAACTAAGTTTACACATTAGTTGTTTCTTAGCTGTCTGACTGATAAAAGAACGTATCGAAAAATGAATTATAAACTTCTATGTTTTGTCGCAATTTCTCCTCCACGATGGAAAACCTTCGTGCGTAAAAGCGCATCATGAACCTTTTGTCTCCAGCTGCAGCAGCAGCAGCAGGATACACACTTACATCCCAGCTCGTTACGACGTGGCCCATGCAGGACTTATGTGCGTAACACAGTTGAGGGAAGAGTCATAATCTTCCCGGCTATCAAATTGTCCCGTTGGCCATCAAAATTAAATTAGGGCGCGTTTAATGCGATAATCTGCATTACAATCCTTAACATTGAAGCTGAGTCGGACAATTGAATTAACAGGTTTTCAGATGGCACAAATAGTGAGCTCCAAACCGATAATATTTTCATTTCATTGCTCTGCCCTGATTGGCTCCAATTAGACGTAATTGCACGGGGACGCGGCTGTAATGGGTGAATGATGGGGGTGTAAATAAAACGATGACCCTCATTAGACAGGAGGCCACTTTGAAGCAGCAGCAATACACGTTCTCTTTTCAACTTACCCGAACAATTCAAGTGGAGGAACTGGATGTGTCAACAAAATAACATTTTGGACACACACACATTCACATATAATATTTGCTCTACTGACAGCGAGTCCTCTATATTTAATCCAAAGTGTATTTATGCGCTCAGCTTAATAGACAACTTGTAAATAACGAAGCCACAGAAATCACAAGTCAGACAAACAAACAAACAAACATATTTTCTTCAGAATGACTCAAGCTGCTGTTGAAACAGTACGCCTCATTATCACGTCTAAACACGCAGTAAATAATTCACCCCCAAATAGAATGAATTACGACAGCAACAATCCAGTAAGAGAATGACATAAAAAGAATAAAACACATCCTCGTGTAAAAGGACAGAATCGTTTCTTCTTACGGTTTTATTTGACTGAAGCCACAGAGCCGCTTGTCCATCAGTGTTACTCTGACATGTTTAGTAGATTTACTTCAAAGATGTTGGGAAACTTTCTGGAAATCAGACTTTTGAAAAAAAAAGCTTTTACAGCTCTGACATGTCGGGGACGGAGATTAACATTTCCTAAAGCTCCACAGTGTTTTTATAAAGGCTGTTAAGTTTTTATTACTTTTAAACTTTAACATTGATCCGGTCAAGATTAAATAAAGTTTTATATTATGTTGTATATAATACAATAACAATAAGTAAAATACAATGCTTAGTCCAAACGAAAAATGTGTTTATATAAAATAATTCCCTCTACAACCCCTACAATATTAACAATGATTTAAATTTAATTCCAGCTCCCTTTTAATCTATTCCCCTTACAGGCAACACTCGATCGATAATTTATATAGGAAGTGTAAATGTATGTCATATATAATTTGTATATTTAGAGTGACTTGCAGCTTGTCTATGTTTTATTGTTTTACTAAATAAATAAAAACCGGATTCACACTGTTGAAAAAAACCATATCGGAGATATGTGACTGAGATGTCAAAAATCTCCTTCGTCTTTATTTCTCTGCTTGTATATTGACTTCAGATTTCATGTTGCCTGAAATCTGTAGATTGCACGTGTTCATAAATAATCACTAGTTATTAATTATAATAATTATCACGATGTGCATTAAAATAAACTTCACTTTCATGTCAGTCGTGTGAAAATACAATATTTTGGAAATATTTGGACCAATATTCGTTGTGATGTATTTACGCGTATTTTCACTGAGTTGAATGCAGCAGTAAAATCTGCTGAATTTACTGGAGAGAGGATGATAAATGATTCCTGATGTCTTTATGGACCTTAGTGGAAAATGCTGCAGTTTTTTACTTCCTGTTTCGTTTTTTTTTTTGTCCTGTCTGTATTTTACATTCAAATATTTTCTTTCATCGTTATAATTCGTGGTTAGATTTGTTCCCTCAGAGCTGCATGTTTGCAGCTTCCTTATTTAACTGAGAAAAAACATAGGTGTCTAATAAAGGTGTCTAATGTGAAATAAAAGGAGGACTCAGAGCTGCCTTTCAACAATACAAAACTCCACTTATAAAACTGACTGAATAACTAATAAAACACACAGCTGTAGGAGTACTCAAGTACAAATATCAAAACCACAATGTAGAACTTGAGTTTGAGTAAAAGCCTGAATTCAAAAACGTACTAAAGTTAAAATAAAAGAATATTGTCGCCAACATATAGGTCAATAAAGCATGAAAAATCATTTAGTATTGTAGTTTAGCAGCTTTGCATAGT